AGAATAAAACTGAGAGTGTGGATTCAGCAGACGCCAGCTCTGACATAGAAGGGGTCTGGATAAGGCACTGCTTCGTCAAGTGTTGAAACTTGTGTTCAAATGTGAAAAAGTGTCAGGTTCCACAGCACAGCTGACATGTTGATTCATGATTAAAAATCATTTCGTTCTTCCAGGGAAAAAGATTTACATGAGTCAAAGATTGCATGATATGAAATATACTTTCTCATAAACAAGGCTATTTGGTAGGTACAGTACAAGTGTTTAAGACAAGTCAACAAAATTGGAAAAAAAAGAAAAAGTGAGATTAAGTTTAATTCTTTTTTTAATAATATTGTGGGGAAAATAACTCTCAGGACCCAGGAATACAGAAAACCTTCCAGATGATTGACTGCAGCAACTTCAGGTGCCTGGCAATAGGTTTCAGATAATTCATACTGTGCCCCATGATTTGATAAAAAAAAGCAAAACATGTATACAAGTTTTGAAACTTCATATTTTATTCAGAACATGAATGTTCCCATTTCTAAGCATGAGATAATTTACAGTAAAGATCAGCAACATCTAAAGACAAATTTAATGTCACCTCTCACTCAGTAGTTGCTTGATTAAATGCATTCTGGAAACACAATTTTAATGTAGAAAATGGAAATGCTACATTTTTTAAAAAATCAATCATATGAACAATGTTTTAGACATGAGAGAAAAGCAATAAAGATAGTGGACCTTGCACTGTTTTTTCCATGCATTCACAGCATTACAATGTTTTTATATTGTTGTAGTGTTTTCTCTGGAGGCACCAGTTCTGTAGGGTTTGGGCATTTACTGGGACAATTATTAATTGTAGCAGTAAGTCACAAAATGATTCTTTTGATGGCCTTAGAATCCAACCATGCGATATAACTCAAACAACGCACACACACAGGTACTAATACACGAGGATACATTTATTAATACATAGAATATGCATGTAAACCTAACAGATCTTATCGAGAGGGTTATCAGAATACAAAAGGTATATATTCAGTCAGTTACAAAGAGTTAC